GGCACAAAACAAAGTCCAGTGTTACCCAAACAATGAACAGGAGTACAATTAAACCAAACCCACAGATGCTCTGGTTATGCATCTATGTTGGATCCCAGCCAGAACAAACTGTTAGCTGTGCTGAAAAGTCGCCAAGCTCTTCAAGATAAAATCAACCCCATAAAAATGTTATAATTAACGATTTCATTCTAACATCTTTGGATGCCTTTAAGTTATTGTTTCGGGTATGTTTTCTGCTGAGTTGGAAAGGTGCCTGTTTCTGTATTTCATTTTGTTTCTAAGGATCAGTCATCTAACCGCTCGTTTAACCTCGAGCAGTTACAAAGTGTGTTCATTTACATGCACCTCACTGAAATTAACAAACGGTTTAGGAGTATTGGCCAAGACCTGCGAAGGCAATTTCCGAGTCAGTTTGAGTGGCAGTATCTTTTCCTGGCACCTCCTGTGACTAATCCGTGACCTGGGGATCCCAGGTTTGTCCTGGAGGAGGGCCACAAAAGATTGGTTTTCTGATTGAAATAAAAAGCGAAGCGCGCACACAAGACATTTCAGGATTTTTCATTCTATTATAGATTCCAAGTCAAATCTGCAAGTCTGGCTGAGCCACAGGCGCCATGTAAACTCAAGCAGGAAGTGCTAATTGCTCTCTACTCCTCTCGTCTGGAGCATCTTTGGTGGCTATACTGAAGGCTCACTGTCATGGTGTGTTTAATCTGGCAGCCTGTATTTAGAGCACTGACAGGGATGGTCTTGCTCCACCTCTATCCCTGGGGTTGTGTGCTCCCTCCACCTCCCTTGCGTCCGATATAGGTACTGTGAGCCAGGTCAGTGCAATCATCCACGGGAAAACCAGTCATTATTTATAAGTGGTTGATTTTTTTTTAATTTTTTTTTTTCGTTGACTCATGAAGCTGATCCAGCTCACCACACGGTTGCATGATAGCTAGACCATGAGAAATGTGTAGGTGGCAGTAGGAGGAAGTTCATAGCAAACTCTGTTTCATGAGAAATTCTTAACTTTGAAAAAAGGCGATAAACTTTAAACAATTTCAAGAAGAAAAAAGTTTTTATTTCTTTTTTTCTTACAGAATAAATAGAAGCTATTTATCATAGGTAATTAATTAAAGGGTTTAAAGTTGAAACTTTCTGAAGTTTTAAAAAGCCCAATGACTAAGTCAAGCTGAGCTTTTTTCCCCCTCTCCAGATTGTTAATTTGAAAACATTTTTTCTAGATTTCTTTTACATTTTCTTGTAGTTGGGAATACATGAACCTTTTTCTCTCTCAAAAAATATTTCTGGGATGAGAAAACTGCATGTTGCCTAGTTTAAGAAAATGCTCATAGTTGCTCTGGAAATAATATTTGTGGAATTGTTTGTCATCTAGGTTGCAATAAAGCTGAAAGATCAGCAAGAGGGTTTAAGAATCGCACAGCGGGCCCTCGTGCAGCCAGCCTTGTCCTAGGGGTCTGCAGTCTCTGCTATTTCCATTCATTTTTCACTTTCTGCCGCTGTTACTGGTGCGTTGGCTTTGCTGTGGTGCAGTGCTTGGTGGCCAGTGTTGCGTGGGAGGGAGTTCACGAATGAAACCCTGCCAAAGTAGGGAATGGTGAGAGGCATTCTGAAATGCCAAGGGCGTGTGGGCACAAGAGCTTTGAAAAACCAACCGATATTTTCAGTCACTTTCCCCATCACGTAACATATTGTCTTTAATCTCATTTAAAGCTGAAAAGTGTGCTGGTGTATCTGTACCTGTTACAGATATATTAAGAGATAGAGTATAAATAAACCATGCCTAAGCAATGGGTTTAAGCCAGAGAATGAGAGTATTGTCCACATTAGGTTGTGAGCATAATGAAGTTTGGGTTTATTCAAAGTTGGCTGTTTACTTTTACCTATCATAAAGTCAGGAGCAAGAGGCGAGGATTCCAGCTGTAAATGTTTTGAATACCAAGGTGTCTGTAATGAAGGATTTTGTTTCTGGCCAGCTTTAGCTAGACGGCATTATCCATAATCTCCCTTGTGTGATGGAAGTGGGTATGCAATGAAGGAGAAAATATTATATGGACTGCCTAGTATCACTGTTAATTTTTATACGTACTAACACTCTATGAACACTGTATGAGACTCCGTTAGGAAAAGTTGTTCTATATTGTATTGTAAAATATTCTTATGTGAATGCTTTTATCTAATTTTATGCTGGTATAGCAAATAAAGGAGGGGCAGCCAGGTTCTGTGCTTGTCAGCTTGGAAAATGAAGACTCCTATGATGGTGAAAGAGCTTGAGGAGGAGTGGATGGATCCTGTGGTCAGTGAGTGCTTGCACAGCTGGTGCTGACAGCAGGGATTTGGCTTTTATGACCATGGGACCCTCTTTGAGTGCCACGGACTGTTAGGAAGAGATGGGATCCACCTGACCAAATCAGGCAAAAGCGTTTTTGCCAACATGGTGGCAAACCTGGTGAGGAGACCTTTAACCTGGGAATGGACAGGAGAGCGCTGATGACAAACAGATAAGTGAGGAAATAGTGGACCAGATTGGTAAGCAAGGGATGCAGGGTGATGCAGACAGGAGAGACATCAGAAATTACACAGAGGACTGAAGGGTGCCCACCTAAAGAATATGCACCTGAATGAGGAGGTGCCGAGAGGACCGCATTGCAGGGGAAGCTCTACTGCTTCTCCTGGGAAATCAGCACAACCGGGTGCCTCTTTGAACTGCCTGTAGGCTAACGCAGACAGGATGGGGAACAAACAGGTGGAATTAGAGGTCTGTGTACAGTTGCAGGGCTACGATCTTACTGGGATCACGGAGGCGTGGTGGGATAGCTCGCATGACTGGGGTGCTGCCATGGATGGATAGAGGCTCTTTAGGAAGGACAGGATGGGAGGCGAGGAGGGGGAGTCATCTTTTTTGGTAACGATGGGAAGGTATGGAGCTCTGCCTAGGGACGGGTGATGAGCCAGCAGAGAACTAATGGGCTAGGATTAGAGAGCAGGCAGTGTGGGTGATGCTGTGTTGGGTGTCAGCTACAGACACATGAACATCTAGAAGCAACTATAACTAAAATTACTTGAACTTTTCATTTTTGAAGCTCTTTCCACTTCCTTCTAATTTGGGAATGACATTTTTCACGTCTGAACTCTTCTCAAAAGTATTTTTGGAAAGTCTGAACAAAAACGGTTTAGCCATCTTTGTGTAACATGACTGCTATGGAAGTATTCATTTGCTATGACACATTTTTGGCAGACAGCTATTGAACAGCTTTAGGGCCTCACTGGAAATGTCCAGAAGTATTTTTAAAATCATTGTATAATTATTATTGGTTATAATAATGTTTGGAGACTCTGCCCAGCAATTGGAGACTTAGAGCACTAGATGGTCTGCAAGCAGCAATGAAAAGCCAGTGCTGCCCCTCAAGGACTCGCGAGAGGCTCTGCCAGCAACAGTGGCTGCATGTCCAGGGGTGAGCAGGACACAGCAGCGAAAATGTTACCGAGTTGGCAAACCATGGTCAGCTATGGAGATTGAATTGGATGCGGGTCCACATTGCTGCTTAGCGTTTGGCGCGTGGTGTGAAGGAATTGAAAGGAAGGGGGACTGCCATCCCCCTGGCCACTGGACAAAGGCTGCAGCGATCCCAGCGCTGCAATCCCCTAGCTCATTTGCCTACTCTCTCCACTTCAGCCTGTGAATGAGAATTATTCAGGGAAGTAAGTAACTACAAAAAATCAGCTTTAATGTGAAAAACAAAGTGTTTGTTTCGGGGCAATTGCTGTCATCGCCACTGATGATAACGGCCCAGGCATCGGGAAGTACTCGGCATTTGAGCAGTAAGGTGGACTATCTGAAAGTAAAGTTTTAAAATTGCCAGGAGATGGGAATAATTATGTCACACTTCCCACTCTCGTTTTGATCTTGTTACACAAGCGTGAGTGAATGTGAAATTAGATCCTCCCCTTATAGAAACGTTCCAGATTAGTTTCACTTGATATGTTTTTTGTTCCATTATTAGAGCTACATTTGTCCCAAACTTTTGAAGTTTGACTTTATTAAACTTTTTCTAATGGCCATACTTTACGAATTCTCCTTTCTGCACAATTGCCTACACAATAAGCTGTGCCTCCTGGAGACACAAACGTGGAGGTGTTTCATATTGGTGGAGCAAGCAGTGTTCCCTGAAGCCGTTCATCTCAGATCCATGCTTTCCACGGCACCCCATGATCAAAAGCTATGAAATGCTACTCCTGAGCAATGCCGTTAACGTTGAGTTGAGGCAAGTGGACAGTGTTTCCTGAAGCTTTTAGATGAAAAATTTTTAGATGTTTTTCACTCAAGTGTTTATTTCATGGAAAGAAACACATTTGGACTTTTAAAAATCTAACATCATATGACCTTTCAACTAATATACTGCTGAATTAGAATAAGAAAAGCCTTTATTTATTGCTGCCTTTTCCCCAAGCTATTCTTTTTTAGTTGCATTAAAATGGAATATATTTGGGCATAAAAGATGACAGCTCCTTTTCATGGCCTGTTACCGTATTTTTGCTGTGGCTAGTCAGATGCTTTTATCTAAAGCTTTGTTCTTTGCAGTGGAAAAATTTCAGAGGATTTAAGAGAGTGATAGAGTTTTCCGAGAAAATAAAATTTTCACACAATACTTGGCGCTGATCAGGAAATGGGATTTCATGATGGCAAAGCTCCGTGCTTTGTTAAAACTCTTGTTGACAGTGATGGACTCTGGGGTTCATATTGCAGCTCGGCAAACATGCCCATCCTTCTGTGCTTCGCTCTGCAGCACGGGTACTGTTTGTAGTAGGGGTGGTGGTGGGTAATTCTCCTGCGTCCTGAGCAGCAGCCTGTACCTACGGTAGCTGCTCAAACGTGACTCCCGCGCCAGGACTTTGGCAAGTGACTTGTGGGAGGAGGCTGGTGTGGGCTTCTGGGGCTGCCCTCGCTGGGTCATCCCGGGACCCAGCTGGATGGAACCAGGGGGTCTGGCATGTCGCTGGGAAACTGGAGGTACGTGAAAAATGGATCAGCTGAAAGAACATCTCTGAATGGCGCTTGGGAAGGGAAAACACGTAGGACTCGTTGGCATGGTGAAAATGCAAAGTGTAGCTCAGGGTGGATAGGAGCAGGAGAACTTTCATTGTGATCAAGTGACAGCTGATAGTTCAGGGAGAAGATTAGGAATAAGAATAATATAAGAATAATAATCTTATATTATTCTATGTTATATTACTATTATATATTATTAGGAAAAATAGAAGGTTTAGAAGTAATAATAAGATTAGGAATAAGGAATAGCATTTGATTTAACCATTCTTGTGGCAACTTTTAAATAGGACCAGAGCAGAAAATAATCCTTGGCTAGTCTGGTCCTGTGGCATTGGCTGATCTTCCAGTTGCCCGAGGCAGCAAAATGCCAAGGGGCAGCGACGGTGGGACGGGCAGGGCTGGTGTTCTCCAGCTGCAGCTGCCTTCTGCAGAGCCAGCCCTGCTGGTGGGGCTGCAACCTCGTGATCTGCCAGTGCTGATGTTAAGCACTTTACATTTTCCCCTCCAGAATCGGAGATCATCTTTAATGCTAAGTAATTATAAGATTGCAAAATTGGAGGTAGTAAGGGCCTATTAAGTGAGCCACCCTCCTCTGCCTGCAGGGGATTGTTCAGGGGGAACTAGAGTGATTTAAAAATGGGAATTCAACCAATTATTCACCTAATAGTTTCAGTTCATCCACTTCTGCCACTGAGATATATGGTATCGTCTTTCTTTGTAAGCAGCATGAATGGATTACCGAGTTTCATTCTCAAATCATCTGCGAGGCAGTCTTTGCGTCTCTAAGCAAATGGGGAAATGTAAGCCTCTCGCAACACCGCGACCGAATATTCTCCAGGAAGAAATGCGAATATCCTGATCGTAATTCCTGTGGGGAGCTCATTTCACGGCATGCGACCTTCAGCTTGAGTGAAGAGCTGCAATAAGGAACTGTATCTAGTTCTGTCTGGTAACAGCTCTATCAAGCTTAAGTATTCCCGCTGTAAATGAAAGATGAGGTGAAAGCTGACGCGGTGCTGGCTTTTGGTGATGTAATGCCACCTCTCGCAGGCCGCCCCACTGGCGGGATCAGACTGATAGGAGGGTGGGGGCGTTCGTACCTTTGACTTCCAACTGTAAAGCTGCTCGCTGAGGCGCCTCCCGAACCGCGGGAGGGAGACGTGGGGCTGGGCACCGCCGCCGTGCTCCCCTCAGGTGCGCCTCCGCCCGGCTGAGGGAACTCTGTTTCACATTCCTCTAAAGCAGCTTTGCACATGTCACAGCACAAATTAGTGAAGTCTAAATTTCAGCTCAAGGCTCCATGTGTCATTTAATAGCATACACTTGCTAACTGTAGCCAAAAAGCAGGCTTCCATCAGGGACTCTGAAACTCTTCATTTACATAAGAATGGGAAGTTAATTGTGCTACAGATATTCTGGTTTCCCCAAGGAATTCATTAAGCATGCTGAACTTGCTGAGAATATAACTTAACTGTCATTTCTAGGAAATCAGGGAAATTCAACTTCAGAAACACCACCAACGGAAGTAAAAGAAATTCTTTAATATTAATTTGATTCAAATCTTTCTGAACTGTGTCTGGAATACCTATGCTCTCATTTCTGGAGTTATTTTCTAAATATAAGTAGTTACAGTAACTATTTCTTCCCTTTTCAATGCAGGATCCTGAGCTGGTTTTGTTATTTGGCAAGACGATTTACACTTACGTTTACCCCTGAGGGATTAAAAAAAAAAGAAAAGTAGGGTGACATTTTGCTCTTATATACACATTGTTGTTAGTAAGCAAGTACTCAGAGTACCTATATAAAAGTGCAAAAAATTATTCAAGACATTTATTTTAGTCTTAAATAATTATATGTTAGTAAAAATATAACACTAAAAATGTTCTTACAGATAACATGCAATCTCCAGCAATAGGTTATAGCAGTTCTTATATCAAAAAAGAGGCTGATTGTGAAGACACTGCTCTCACAAACCACCCTACAAGGGTGGTGGTCAACTGAAATAGCCAGAAGTTATTCCAGTGTAATTTTTTTTTTTCCTCACAATGATTTTTTTTTTCCTCACAAAACCTACTTTTTTCTTTATGAATTTGTATTAGACAGAAATAAATATTTATTTAATTGGGGGGAGGGGTCTGCTTAGAAGTTACAGGCATTTTAGTTAATTCAAGAAACACTACATTTTTAGAGTTTTTAAGGTTTTGATTTTTTTCTGGATAATGAAGACACTTTGAAAGCATGTTATTAATGATCTATTCAGACAGAGAAAAATGAAAAAGAGAGCTTCTAACTCAACACATCATGTGAATTGTGGGATTGCAAGGATGGAAGTCAAACCATTGCACATTATCTTCATTTACCACTGTACACATAACTCTGAAGCTATTCAGCTAGCTCAGTGCTAGCACATTCAAAAAGAGCATATTGGAGAAACTTGACCTCCAGTTCTAGATTTGATTACATTTAAGCTGGGACCGGTCTCATCAGGTGGATGGTCTGGGAGCAGCCGTTACCGTGAATCGCATGAAAAGTGAACAAGGACCGGAGCGAATAGCGTTTGATCCCACTTAAAAATCGAGTGTCCGGTTAAGAGATGGCCAACTCTTCGGCAGGCTGTGGAGCGCAGCTGTCGTGTGCTCTGCCCCGGTGTGCTTTGGGTTGATGAAAACACTTAAGTCTTGTCAGTTTTGTGTTAGACTTCTTTGGGTTTTAGTGAGGTTAAATGATCCTGTCTGAAGTGCACGTGAAAGAATAGTGTGCAGAGCTGTGGACATTCAAAAGGTTTTGTGTAGCTTATGCTGTTTTCTGTTTCTATTTTAAGATGACTTACTCATCTGTCCGGCAGTCTGGTAGGCTGCTGGAGAGAGCTGGTCGTTTCCAGGATGCAGTGCAGCGTATGGCAGGTGATGGCAAACCCTTGGGCTCAGTTTCGGGATGATCAGAACCAATCCCTAGTTTATTGTCTGAAAAAGACGTCTGATAATGCATCTCTGATCAAACCATTTCTGACTGCATGCTTCTGCAGACTACAGTGAGAGGCAGACCAAGTCTGTAATGACTTATCCCTTCTTAATGCAACTCTTTTGTTGGATGAGAAGCATAGCCCCTAATGTTTCCTTCCCAGTTCCGAGGATTGGGAAGATAGTGTGACTACTTACAGATAATCACCCTGATGTAGCATGTACACGTGTATTATAGACCTAGAAAGTTATCTTAAAGTAGGCATGACTACAAAACATTTTCTGTCTTGATGCTTTGAGAAGGACATTGTTTTTTAGGAAATTCCTTCAGTGAGGTGAGGTTGGAGGGAAGGAGAGGAGAGACAGAGATGCAGTGTGGGCTTTTGAATTATTACGTGAGAGTACATTAGAAGAGAGTTCTTGACTTGCAGAGTGGCTTTAAACAACTAAATTATTGAGAAAGTGTCTTTGATAATAGTGTGGCATAGAATAAACAGCATGTGGGGGAAGACTGTGCCTGTCTCCCAAGTTTTCCTGTTCTGCAAAGTATGAGTGTCTGTGTGTCCCCTTCCTCTTTTTGACAATATATGGTGTCTAGGGGTAAAAAGGACCCATCAGTGATAGTACTTTGGTAAAAATAAAGCTTACATTTTAAACGTAAGTTAAATTATAACAATAGTATCTTCCTCCCAGTTATGTGCAAAGGTATTGCGACATCATACGGATTTATACATCATCCAGATAAGTAACAAAACACACCAAGATGTGTAGGAAGGAGTGACAAATTTCTCTCTCAATCCTGAACTCCTTAAGTGATGTTTAACTTCCGCCTTTTGTTGGGATGCCTCGGCTGGAACTTTTAAAAGGAATTTGGGAGAACGAGGTTTTGAGCCCTGCGTTGGTGTCTGGACATCTCCCTCCTTTGTCCTGTGTGAAACAACTGGTCCATGAGTAACAGTGACCAGCCGTGCCTGGTTTTGGTGGATGGGTGCCTCCTACTGCTGACTGTTGAATTGTGGGCTTCCACTCAGACTTTTTTATTCCACCACGGGGTCATTTTAAATCTCTCTCACCAGCACAGATTTTTAAGGATACCTTGTGGCCTCATTGAGACTTCTTTGTCAAATATGGGTTGAAACTGGTCAAGTTCAAAGTTATTTTGAGGCAAAGATCAAACAAACGCACGCATGCATGCATACAAATCCAGTGGAGTTACAAAAGCTTCCTTTTCTTAAGAAACAGTGCTAAAATGGTCTTTCCATAAGGCTAAATTTTTAACAATTGTGGCTAATCTCTACTTCTGATACTGTACATAAGAAGGAATGAGTATTTAGATGGGAGAAGGCTAAATATGGTCGCAAGCCAGTTTAGTAAAACCAGGGGGATAAAATACTGAAAATGTTTTCTTTGGCATATTATTCTGCTGTAGTAATAGCTTAAACATTTTTGCTTCAGACTGTTCCTCACTTAAAGAAGGGTATGGAATCATGTACTTCATCTTGTTAGGAGTGAAAAAATCTATTAAAGCAGATTATTTAATTTCAGAGTGGTTGGAGCAATTCTGATTAAGTGATGACTGACAAGGTTCTTTTATGCGAATCTGAAACAAAATCAAACAAAACCCAAATATTTTAAATCTCTAAAAAGTTCATCTTTATATGTGAATATACTTTAGGGAATAGAGAGTATAAATGTTAATAATTAATTATTTAAGTGAGATTACAGTTTCTGATGTACCTTGCAGTTTTATTCAGCAATAACTCGCAGGTGAATATTTCTCAAGGGAGTGAGATCATCATGAGAGCGCTTATGATCTTTGCCCAGTTTGGGAGCTAAATTATTCCGATATTTAGCATGAAAATTAAGCACCTGAAACTTCTGTGCTGTATCAGAAGATAGTCTTTGAACCCTTCAAGATCAGCTCCACGTTATGGTCACTTTTTACCGGACAGCAGCTTTGTTTGAAGCATGATGCGGTTATAATATGCCAGATCTACACATGCAATTATTTATGCCTCACTTGAGTGCTTAGATGATGGGTTAATAGCAGTGCTGTTCGCTGGCTTGTATAACGGTAATGGTATAATGTGAATTCTTTTAGACACTTCTCTGTCATGATTATCTTTCTTTTAAAGGATATCAACCAGAAGCTGCAAGAAGATAACCAAGAACTGAGAGACCTTTGCTGCTTTCTGGATGACGACAGGCAGAAGGGCAAGAAGGTGTCCCGTGAATGGCAGAGACTGGGCAGATACAGCGCTAGTGTTATGCACAAAGAGGTTGCCTTATACTTACAGAAGCTGAAAGAATTGGAAGTGAGACAAGAAGAAGTGGTTAAGGAAAACCTGGAGCTGAAAGAATTGTGTGTGTTGCTGGACGAGGAAAGGAGTGGTGGAGCAGGCAGCCGGAGCTCTATCGACAGCCAGATCAGCCTGTGCCAGTTAACTGCGACGAGTACTTACATAAGAGATGTCGGTGATGGGAGTAGCACTTCTAGCACGGGAAGTACAGACAGTCCAGACCATCATAAACATCATCCAAGTACTAGTCCAGAACATCTTCAAAAAACTCGGGGTGAAGGAAGCCCTGAGCATCAGAAACACAGGAGTATCAGCCCAGAGCACCTCCAGAAGCCTAGGCGTTCTGGCAGTCCTGATCATCACCTGAAAGGGCCAAGTCCGGAACATCACAAAACCATTGTCAAAGCACCTGAACAACAAAAGCACAGCAGCAGCAGTCCAGAAACTATCCCAAAGCATGTTTTGAGTAGTAGTCCTGAACACTTTCAAAAGCAGAGGCCTGGCAGTAGCCCTGAGCATCAAAAGCACGGCAGTGGCAGCCCAGATCATCTTCAAAAGCACACGCCGAGTGGAAGTACAGAACATCTCCACAAAGTGAGGGGTACGAGCCCTGAGCATCTCAAACAACACTATGGAGGGAGCCCAGAGCATCTCAAACATCTCAGCGGAGGCAGCAGAGAAGGTACCCTCAGGAGACAAGTAACAGATGACCTGTCACCTCACCACAGAAGTATATACAATGGAATGAATGGTGGGTCAATACGTGTAGTGAAAACTCACTTTGAGAATTACTAAGGTAGTTTCAGTGCTATTTCAGCTATTTCTGGGAAAAGAATAATGTTTTATGTGAAATGAAGGGTAACAAGTCTGGTGTAAGCATTATTCCTTTAGCAAGTGAATTAACCGGAATATACCTGTTTGTCCATCCAGCGAGTGTTGGGTGGATTAAAAAAGTAGAGGAAAAGTGCGTCTTGAGTGTTGGTGTAAGGTAGCAAAAAGCAGCTCTTGGCCTTGATCCTGCTCTGTGGTTGGTAGATGTAAACTGTTTGTCCCTAAGTAGATTTCTGTTTACATCAGAGAGGAATTGCGTTATGTTTCTCCTCCTGCCTATATTTGAGTCAGCAGAATGGAGGTGAATGTCTCCAATTTCATTTCCACGTTCCTACCGTACCCTACCCTACCCTGTCTGTAGCTTTAAAGATTTAAGAATTTCCTTTATTGATGGAAGGCTTCTTATATCTTTTTCCATAAACTTTGGAAAAGACCCCAGATGAAGAGCTGGGCTCAATATAAATGAATCTGATAGCTCCTAAAGCTTTTCAAAGCCTTGAGTTTGCATGTGTTCAATTATAACAAATTAAAATTTAAGGAAGATCTTAAAATTCTTTTTTTTTTTTTTTTGTGTGTGGTGTTATTGCTGCATTTTAGAAAGATACCCAACGAACATGCCTAGCTTCTAAGAGTTGTGTATCCTCACTGATTGAAATGAATTACTTTTTTCTTAAGGTAGTCACAATTTAAGTATTTTGTTATTTTGAAAGACAAGCGGTTACAACAATATTGAAATGAAATACAGCAAATGAAATTATTAAAAACAAAGTTCAAACATCCGACTATGCTGTAGAAATAACTTTTTATAGCTTACCAGAATTTCTGTAGTCTGCTCCATTTTGTTTCTTTTATGTGCTTTGAGATGTTTTCATGAAGGGAATTAGCGTCACAGTTGAAAACCCATTTCTTAGACCTTTACACTTTGATTTGAAGTCAAGCACGGAAGAAAGTGAGGATTTTGCTTTAGTAAATTATCTTGGATGGCATTCATGTGTTTCCATTTTTATAAGCAGCTGTGAGAAGTTGTGTTGACATCGGTGGAACTGACCACTTGTTGTTGGATCTGCTTGTGAGATGGAGGAGACAGCGAGCTCTGTGCCGGCTGCTGTCCTCATCATTTATCACATCGCTCTCTCACATCGGTCCATTTACCTATCGTGATTAACTTACAGAATGCCTTCAGTTAAGATAACCTGCTCGGTAGGGGTAAATCCAGATTACTTTTGGTGAAATGCATATACTTGACAGGGCTGACGAACCCTGAAGTGGTAAGTGTAGAGACTTCTCTTTTTAATGATTTTAAAACGATTAATAAGATGAGTGTGTGACAACTGTGTGAAGATGTGTAATACATAAGTTATAAAAGTTGGTCTTACAAAACCTCCATTAAATACTGTATTTCCTTCCCCGTTCAGTTCTTTCTGTTTAAAATTGACGGGGCTCTAAGTAGCGTGAAGTGTGGAACCAGACTTCCTAAAAGTGGCTTCTTACTTGCACTCATGGTATTCATCAGTCCAGTCACTGGTTATGTAGAAAGGTGATCTAAGGTTTTAAGTATATATTTTTAAAACTCACGCACAGACAAAGATAGGGTTTTTCTGCTCCCAATGTGGTTGGCTTTCTGATTTTTTTTTTTTTTTTTTTTGGTCCAAATAGTCTTGTTAAGAGCTCGGCCATATTATTAACAGTGCGATCAAAGCAGTTGTTACTTTAAACCTCAGCTGACTGGCGTCCTTTGTGCAGAGTATTTCAACTATCTACAATTTGGACTTGGGCCACAGGATGCTGGAGAGGGCAGCTGGTGATTTAGGAGTCTGTTTATTGACTTTAATCAGACCTTTGCCTGTCCTACACTTTATATAATCATTTTTGCAGAGGACTTCTCTCACCAGTAAGTTGTCAAACCTCTCCTCTTTCATATTTCTATAATTTGATGCAAGCATGAGGTTTAATTCTGACATTCATCTGACCTTGGTCAGTGGTAAAACTCTTGACAGCTTTGCTCTGAGGAAGAGGCCTTAAACTTCAGGAAAATACTTGGTCTTCACAGCAAGGCTGAATCGTTTTTGGGTTTTTGTGTTTTGTTTTGTCAGCTACTGTAAAGTTGTGGAGAAGGACAGTTAATATGGAAGCGCTAAAAGTGCTGACCATTATCACTTGTTACTGTTGTGAAAGTAATGTGTAAACCTTAATTTGCATGTTCTGCATATACCTGTATACACGAACCTGCCAATCAAGTATAGATGGGGACCTGTGCATTGAGCTGTGAAGAAAATCCACACCTTTTGCACCTGTTGTAAGGAATGGTGAAATTGTGAAAACGTGAATTAGAGAGTGCCGTGGAAACCTGGCCCTAAACTCTGATGAGCAATATAAAAGGATGCTATTTTTGATTCTTATCCCAAAATCATGTAATGATTTCGATTCTTATCCCACAAGCATGTAGTGAGTATACGATATCATGTTGGTGGAACCTGCTTTGTTTTAAATTTGGACTATATCTAGCTAGTGGATGTTTGATTGCACATCCGTGTGATTATTTTGCAGGGCACTTCTAATCTTATTGCAGGCCTTGTGGACTGTCATTTGAGCAGCAAGAGTGAAGTGTTTGTGATCCTAAATGATGAATAGCAGAGACCAACATCTTTTGACCCCTCTGTAAATAAAGGAATAAAGTAATGTATTTTAACTATGTAATCAGAACTTGCCAGACTCAGTACAGGCCTGTCCCATCTTCCTTGGTCTACACTCTGAACCTGCTCTGAGAGGAGAAGGTATTCCTCTGCATGTCAAACCTCATTCTAAAAAGTACTATACTGTCTACCTGAAATTGCTGTTCCTAGTTGGAAAGCATGTTTGCGAACAGCCTCGCTATTCCTGTTGAAATGCGAGCTCCCATACGCTGCTAACAGCTCCCATTTTCCTGGAGTTCTGGTCTTGTCAGCACTTGCATGACCACAGGGGAGCAATGTATTCAGTTATCTATACCAGAACTTTGACTGTATGTAGAGATGCCGGGAATGGAGTTAGAGTATCTGCAGGTTTCTGACAAACTCTTAAGCTAAAGTTAAAGCCGTTGCAATATAATATTACAATGTTACCAGAAATACGATGTGTAGCTGTAGTCTGCTTTACAGGATATGGTATATGCATTAATCATTTGGGCTTCATGCATATTTTAAGCTGTCATGAAGTATGCAGGAAGTTACTTCAGTCTGAAGCTGTTTTTGGTCCGTTGGCACAGCTGAAGGAATGAAGGGTGAGGTGATAACGTTTCCTTTCATAATTCTTCTCATTTTCTATGCTCAAAGGTTTGCTCTTGGTATTTTTTCTCATATGACATGTCAGCTTTCATTTATAAGATTTATAAAGCTTTAAAAAAGCCCAAAAAACTTCAGGGTTCTCCTACATATTTTTCTGAAATGGGTGTCCTCAGCCTTTGGAGTGACAGAAAATGGGATGAGAGTGCTAAAGTTGGCTTGATGTTTGTTAATTGAAAACATAGGTATTTCATTTCAAACGCTCTAACCAAATAAAACATAACAATCTTTTGCTGTGATCACACCTAAACATTCTGGGTAATGAGCACAGAGGTATTTGGGATAGAAAGATTGCTGAAATTAGAAGAGAAAATACCAGCGGTAAAAACATTTTAAGGAGAACATTTATGCAACCTAGAATAATACACGACAGTTTAACTCTGACACAAATGTGTGGGGTATAAGTGCCTCTATATAAAATAATGTGCCTTCAGCATTTGCAGTCTAAGTGGTGTTTTTTATTCTAAGCAATTTACTGTCAACTTTCTATTTTAAGAAGTCCTTTGTTTTACTCTGGGCTTTGACTTCTGTGTGAAAGGAAAGTATCAGAAGGCTTTCATA